GAACAAAAAGTGGGACGTGGGGCAGCTTACCAAGGAAGATGTGAGAAGCTGGGGGAAGGTGGATTTACTCGTGGCCGGATGGGAATGCCAGGGCACTTCCAGAGCAGGAAAGGGGAAGGGCTTGCAGGATGAACGTACAGCCATGGTATCCGCTCTTCTGTCAATCATGAGGTGGGCGAGAGAAGCGGGAGGAGAATATGCTTACATACTGGAGCATGTGGATATGAGAGGAGATGCACGGGAGCCAGTCCGAGCAGTACGAGAGCTAGTGGAGGCAGAACTGGGTAGGGGGGTGAGTTGTGATGGCGCACAGCTGGGGGCATGGTGCCACCGAGTGCGACAATTTTGGCAGAATGTCCTGCCAGAGGGAGAACTGAGGGCAAGACTAGCAAGGGTGGAGAGGGATGGGACTCGGATAGTGGAAGACATTCTGGAACCGGGCAGAGTCGCCGCACCAGTGGTGAAGCCAGATCATCCGCGGCAGTACCAGTGTAACCGAGTGGGAGAGGCACGGAGAGCTTGGCCGACGTTGGTAGCCTACCCTCAGGCTCAGGGGTTCGTGGAGGTGGATGGGCAACCCGGTCCAGGGATGGTGTACGACTACCGAAAGAAGAAGTGGGAAGAGCCGACGGCCTTAGAACGAGAATTAGCCATTGGTTATCTGCCGGGGGCAACAGCTGCGGAGGGAATGGGAGAAGCAGCACGCAGAGCGGCTCTAGGCAGAGCCATAGACCAGCACACATTGAGGTGGTTAGTAAGGGAGATGAGAAAGGGTCCGACTAGCAGGAGAGGAAAGGCAGGGACAGAACAGGGACAATGCATCCAGCAAGCATCATACGTAGCTCTCAGTAAGACCACGGCAGGGATGGAGGCTGACCCCAGGACCACAGGGGGCAAGGAAGCAGAGCCAAGCAAAGACTGGGAATTAGGAGCTGGCATAGGGGAGCAAGTCGCAGCTGCAATTCAGGAGGTACTACGGCAACACAGGAACACTTTCGCGTACAACTTGTCAGAGCTGGGGAGGTATAAGGGGAGAGAGCTGGAGCTAAACCTCACCACGGAGCTGCCCACATATCAACGCAGGAGGAGGATGAATGCAGAGGATGCAGCCATATGTAAGGAGAAGTGCGAAGAGCTGCTGGCCGCAGGGATTATCCGCCCGTCAGAGTCAAGCTACGCCGCAGCCACAGTGGTAGCCGCTAGGAAAGATATCACGGGGAAGGTACTGGCGAAGAGGATGTGCGGGGACTTCAGGGAGCTGAACAAGATCACTAGTCCAGATAGGTATCCAATGCCAACTGCTGAAGACATCTTCGACCGTTTAGAGGGCGCCATCATCTTCACCACCTTGGACCTGCGGCAAGGGTTCAACCAAATAGCCATTAGGGAGGAAGACAAACGGAAGACGGCGTTCCACGGGGTGGATGGGCTGTATGAGTACAATGTGATGCCTTTCGGGATTCGCAACGCCCCTGCAGTGTTTCAGCGAGCCATGGATCAGGTGCTGAAGGGGATTCCGGCAGCAGCATGCTACATAGATGATATACTGATATTCAGCAGCAGCGAAGAGCAGCACGTGCAAGATCTGAAGCGGACGCTAGAGGCAATAGCATCTGCAGGCCTAACGTGCCATCCAGACAAGTGCAAGGTAGCAAGGCAGACCGTGGCTTACCTGGGCTTCGAAGTGAAGGGGGGCCGGCTGGCAATACAGGAAGCAAAGGTGAAGGTGCTGGAGAACTTAGCAGCACCCAAGGACAAGACCGGGCTGCGGGCGCTACTCGGCTTCCTGAATTATTACAGGAAGTTCGTTCCGAACTTCAGCCGCCGCGCCTACGTACTGAATCAGCTGCTAAAGGAAGGGAGGAGCTGGCAGTGGGGAGAGCTGGAGGAAACGGCAAGGCAGGACCTGCTGGAAGCAGTACGGACTGGAACACTGCTGCAGATACCGAGGGCAGATGCCCCTTTCATCTTATACACCGACTGGAGCAGCACAGGAATGGGGGCAGTGCTCTGCCAAGAGATAGAGGGAGAGGAGAGAGTGGTAGCCTTCGCCAGCCGCAGCTGCAGCCCATCCGAGGCTAACTACTGCTCTTACGAAGGGGAGGGCCTGACAGCTGTATGGGGGATCACTCACTTCAAGGTGTACCTGCAGGGTCGGCATTTCACACTTGTGACTGATCATCAGCCGTTGCTATGGTTGATGACTCATCAGGAGCTGACTGGGAGAAACGCACGCTGGGCCATTAAGCTGCTGGGATTCGATTTTGAGATCCGACACCGACCTGGGAAAACTCTGCAGCACGCCGATGGGTTATCAAGGAACCCGCCTCCTTTGCAGCCGGTAGCACAACTGGCAGCCATGGCTCAGGTAGCGGCAGTAACCTGGGGGCAGGAGAAGGGAAAGAAGCGGTTAGGGGATATATGGGAAGATGAGGAGACCATGAGCTGGATCAAAGGGGAGCCACTCGAAGAGGGAGGAGTGAGCGAGAGAGCCAGGGCCCGAGGACAGCATTTCAGGTGGTTTCAGGAACAGCTGCAGCTGAGAACTAACGAAGGGTGGAAGGTAGTGCCGCAGCCACAGGAGAGGGCCAGGATTATGGGGAACGTGCACGCGAAGCTGGGGCACTATGGCATAACCAGGACGCGGCAGCTGCTGAGCACCATGTACTGGTGGGCGAGCATGGGAAAGGATGTAGCAGGATTAGTGGCGAGCTGCGAGGCTTGTCAGAGGAATAAAGCAAGGCTGGAGAAAGAGAGGGATGAGCTGCATTCGTTACCAATTCACGGGTTGGGCTACAGGTGGTCGCTGGACCTCGCGGGGGAGCTACCGCTGTCGAAAGGGGGGAAGCAGTACATTCTGGTGATGGTTGAGCACACGAGCAAATGGGTGGAGGTGCGTGCATTACCAAGCAAGAACAGCGCACTGATAGCAGACGCATTTGAGGAGCTGGTGCTTACCAGGTATGGGGCATGCGGAGAGGTACTCACTGATCAAGGGACTGAGTTCCAAGGGAGCTTTGATGAGCTGTTAGAGGAGATGGGTATCACGCACAGGGTCACCTCTAGGTACCACCCGCAATCAGACGGACTGACCGAGAGGCTCATACAGACCTTGAAGAAAGGACTTCGGGCCTACAGTGAGACCCACAAAAGGAGCTGGGACCGAGATCTATGGTTGGTACTGGCTGGGTACAGGTTCGCAAAGCAGGCGGCACTGAAGAACCTATCCCCATACCACCTGCTGTTCGGACGGGACCCTGTGCTGCCGGTCGACGCACCGAAGCTGCTCTCTGCGGTTATAGAGGCGGATGAGCCGAACCTGTGGGCGGAGTTAGCATATAAGAGGGCGAAGTATTTGAAGGAGCTGACTCCGGCAGCCCTGGATAATCTCCACGTGGCGCAGTTGCGTGATGCTAGACGATACCAGCAGCGTAAAGCATCAGGGGTGGGAGGAAGGGAAGACAAGGTGGAGGCAGGACAGGAGGTGTACCTCCGCAAAGCTAAGCGCGACACGCTGGACTTAGCTGTGGGTTCAGAGCGGTGGAAGGTGAAAGAGATTCGAGGCTCGGGAGTGTTAGTGCTGGAAGATATCCGAGGGGGAACCATCAAGGAGCACATCACCAACGTGGCCAGGGCGGGACAAGGGAAGCCTCAGGCATTGGGTCCCGTGGCTCGAGCGGCTAAGATGAGCGCTGAGACACGGGAGGGGGCAGGGAAGCCTGAGATACCAGGAGGATTACAGGACAGGGTGATTACCTACACCAGGAGGAAGAAGGGCTGAACCTGTGGTAGGGAAGGAAGGAGATAAGGGAGAATCAGCGGGATACGCATGGGAGAGTGAGAATGAGAGTCTGCAGAGGAGGATTCACGACAGCTGTCGCGTTATTAACACTTAGCCGGCAACTAAGTGTGAATTTCGCAGCAGCCAAGGTGAGGGTGTACTATAGTTTACTGCTTTTCGCATTTTTACTTTGTGTGCTTGCTTTGGAATGTTACTGTACTATACAGAGTCGAGCTGCTGAGGATTTCGAGGAGGTTGATGAGGAGGTTGGTGGCGAATTCGATTCCAGCCAGCCTGGGAATTCAATTCGCCATTCACCAGGCTGGAAGGCGGTGCATGCCTAGTGGGCCCAGTGGGACCCAGCTAGCACCTTGAAGCCTACGCGATCAGCTCAGCTGACTCGCGCTTAGGGGTAGAGGTAGCTTGCGGGACAAGGCAACTAGGCAGGAGGGGATGTAGACTGGGGTAGCGCTCAGACTCGTTGCTTTTTGCTTGTATGTTTCTTGTTTACTGCAATTTGCTTTCCTAATCCGAAGGGAACTAGCAGTAGGAGAAGCTAACAGCAATCTGACTGAGCCCTTGCGAGGGAGTTTAGACTTGTTGCAGGGAAGCCTGAGATACCAGGAGGATTACAGGACAGGGTGATTACCTACACCAGGAGGAAGAAGGGCTGAACCTGTGGTAGGGAAGGAAGGAGATAAGGGAGAATCAGCGGGATACGCATGGGAGAGTGAGAATGAGAGTCTGCAGAGGAGGATTCACGACAGCTGATGATGGCAGCATCGGCCTTCTCCCACTTCCGGTACTTCTCAACAGCTTCTTCGTACGTCATCACGTCAGCATCACTTGAAGATTCGGTCGGTTCACGGGGAAGAGTGGGCTGTTTCCCCTTGCCACGGTTGAGGAGGACGTCCTTGAGGTCAAGGCCCTGCACGTCACGGCTCAGGAGGTGCTTGTCAACTCCGTAGCTCCACGCCTTGAAGTTGGAGCTAGAGCCATCGGCTTCAAGGCGGAGCGGGGTGATGGGGTTCGCCATGGTGGAAGACGAGAAAGCCATGGTGGAGACCCCTTAACTTCTCGCGCGGAGCGCCGCTCTTAAGTCACCAATAGGAACTTGAGGTTTGGGGTTTCCAAAGGAGATTTTGAAGAACCGGAGGTTTAGGGTTTACGAAGGAGAATTTGACTGAGACGCCAATTTAGTGTCAACTACCTACTAGTCCTATTCCCACACACCCCCCCACACACCACCCTCAGCTTCGCGGCTACGCTGCTGCTCGGCTGCGTTGCTGCACCTGTTCAGCTGCGGGAAAGAGGGGGGATGGGGGTAGGAGTGCAGATGCGGGGCGACGGGCGGCAGCCCGAAGATGACGCTGCGGGGCGACGGGCGGCGGCCCGACGAGAAGCTGCAGGGCGACGGGCGGCAGCCCGTCGAGGAGAAGAAGTGACGAATTGATGAAAACGAGTGTTAGGTTAGAGCGCCGACGATGCGCTTACCAGAGAAGTTTCCGTCGATGGTGACGGGAAGATTTGGCGGGAGAAATTCCGCCGATGAATGTCGCGAATCAACGGCGACGAGATTGGCGATGGCTTCCCCGAGGTTTGCGGGACAAGTATCCGCAGAGATGAGAGGATCACGATCCGCGTATGCGGTTGAGCTGCTCTGATTACCATGTCAGAACTTGAGCTTAGAATCGATACTATAGTAGTGAGCTCAAAGCTCTTTAAGTACATCCGGAATGAGCAAGGTAGGGATGAGGAGGGAATCAGGAGGCAATCCTAGGGAATCAAGGGTAATCCCAAGGCAATCTCCAATTGGTGAGTTGGAGATTGCTTGGAGATTACATTTGGGTTTGGTTGGGATGTGGGTGTACACCCAACCAAACACAAAGTGCAAACTACACTAAACTAGGATATAAAAGTACAAGTACAAAATGTGAGATTGGGGCCTAACACCAACACCCAGCACCCCCACCAGCCAGGCGAGTTGCTCCCAGCACCCCCACCAGCCAGGTGAGTTGCTACCAGCACCCCCACCAGCCAGGTGAGTTGCTCCCAGCACCCCCACCAGCCAAGGGAGTTGCTCCCAGCACCCCCACCAGCCAGGCGAGTTGCTCCCAGCACCCCCACCAGCCATTCGAGTTGCTCCTAGCACCCCCACCAGCCAGGTGAGTTGCTCCCAGCACCCCCACCGGCTAGGCCAGTTGCTCCCAGCACCCGCACCAGCCAGGCGAGTTGCTCCCAGCACCCCCACCATCCAGGTGAGTTGCTCCCAGCACCCCCACCAGCCAGACAAGTTGCTCCGAGCACCCCCACCAGCCAGGCGAGTTGCTCCCAACACCCCCACCAGCCAGGCGAGTTGCTCCCAGCACCCCCACCAGCCAGGTGAGTTGCTCCCAGCACCCCCACCAGCCAGACGAGTTGCTCCCAGCACCCCCAACAGCCAGGCGAGTTGCTCCCAACACCCCCACCAGCCAGGCGAGTTGCTCCCAGCACCCCCACCAGCCAGGCGAGTTGCTCCCAGCACCCCCGGCGAGTTGCTCCCAGCACCCCCACCAGCCAGGCGAGTTGCTCCTAGCACCCCCACCAGCAAGTTGAGTTGCTCCCAGCACCCCCACCAGCCAGTTGAGTTGCTCCTAGCACCCCCACCAGCCAGGTGAGTTGCTCCTAGCACCCCCGCCATCCAGTTGAGTTGCTCCCAGCACCCCCACTATCCAGTTGAGTTGCTCCTAGCACCCCCACCAGCCAGGTGAGTTGCTCCTAGCACCCCCACCAGCCAGGCGAGTTGCTCCCAACACCCCCACCAGCTAGGCGAGTTGCTCCCAACACCCCCACCAGCCAGGCGAGTTGCTCCCAGCACCCCCACCAGCCAGGCGAGTTGCTCCCAGCGCCCCCACCAGCCAGGTGAGTTGCTACCAGCACCCCCACCAGCCAGGTGAGTTGCTCCCAGCACCCCCACCAGCCAGGGGAGTTGCTCCCAGCACCCCCACCAGCCAGGCGAGTTGCTCCCAGCACCCCCACCAGCCATTCGAGTTGCTCCTAGCACCCCCACCAGCCAGGTGAGTTGCTCCCAGCACCCCCACCGGCTAGGCCAGTTGCTCCCAGCACCCGCACCAGCCAGGCGAGTTGCTCCCAGCACCCCCACCATCCAGGTGAGTTGCTCCCAGCACCCCCACCAGCCAGGCGAGTTGCTCCCAACACCCCCACCAGCCAGGCGAGTTGCTCCCAGCACCCCCACCAGCCAGGTGAGTTGCTCCCAGCACCCCCACCAGCCAGACGAGTTGCTCCCAGCACCCCCACCAGCCAGGCGAGTTGCTCCCAACACCCCCACCAGCCAGGCGAGTTGCTCCCAGCACCCCCACCAGCCAGGCGAGTTGCTCCCAGCACCCCCACCAGCCAGGTGAGTTGCTCCTAGCACCCCCACCAGCCAGGCGAGTTGCTCCCAGCACCCCCACCAGCCAGGTGAGTTGCTCTCAGCACCCCCACCGGCCAGGCCAGTTGCTCCCAGCACCCCCACCAGCCAGGCGAGTTGCTCCCAGCACCCCCACCAGCCAGGCGAGTTGCTCCCAGCACCCCCACCAGCCAGGTGAGTTGCTCCCAGCACCCCCACCAGCCAGGTGAGTTGCTCCCAGCACCCCCACCAGCCAGGTGAGTTGCTCCCAGCACCCCCACCAGCCAGGCGAGTTGCTCCCACCACCCCCACCAGCCAGGCGAGTTGCTCCCAGCACCCCCACCAGCCAGGCGAGTTGCTCCCAGCACCCCCACCAGCCAGGCGAGTTGCTACTAGCACCCCCACCAGCCAGGCGAGTTGCTCCCAGCACCCCCACCGGCCAAGCGAGTTGCTCCCAGCACCCCCACCAGCCAGGCGAGTTGCTCCCAGCACCCCCACCAGACAGGTGAGTTGCTCCCAGCACCCCCACCGGCCAGGCGAGTTGCTCACAGCACCCCCACCAGCCAGGCAAGTTGCTCCTAGCACCCCCACCAGCCAGGCAAGTTGCTCCCAGCACCCCCGCCAGCCAGGCGAGTTGCTCCCAGCACCCCCACCAGCCACGTGAGTTGCTCCCTGCACCCCCACCAGCCAGACGAGTTGCTCCCAGCGCCCCCACCAGCCAGGCAAGTTGCTCCCAGCACCCCCACCAGCCAGGCGAGTTGCTCCCAGCACTCCCACCAGCCAGACGAGTTGTTACCAGCGCCCCCACCAGCCAATTGAGTTGCTCCCAGCACCCCCACCAGCCAGGCGAGTTGCTCCCAGCACCCCCACCAGCCAGTTGAGTTGCTCCCAGCACCCCCACCAGCCAGTCGAGTTGCTCCCAGCACCCCCACCAGCCAGGCGAGTTGCTCCCAGCACCCCCACCAGCCAGACGAGTTGCTCCCAGCACCCGCACCCGCCAGGCGAGTTGCTCCCAGCACCCCCACCAGCCAAGCGAGTTGCTCCCAGCACCCCCACCAGCCAGGTGAGTTGCTCCCAGCACCCCCACCAGCCACACGAGTTGCTCCCAGCACCCCCACCAGCCAGGCGAGTTGCTCCCAACACCCCCACCAGCCAGGCGAGTTGCTCCCAGCACCCCCACCGGCTAGGTGAGTTGCTCCCAGCACCCGCACCAGCCAGGCGAGTTGCTCCCAGCACCCCCACCAGCCAGGCGAGTTGCTCCCAGCACCCCCACCAGCCAGGCGAGTTGCTCCCAGCAACCCCACCAGCCAGGTGAGTTGCTCCCAGCACCCCCACCAGCCAGGTGAGTTGCTCCCAGCACCCTCACCAGCCAGGCGAGTTGCTCCCACCACCCCCACCAGCCAGGCGAGTTGCTTCCAGCACCCCCACCAGCCAGGCGAGTTGCTCCCAGCACCCCCACCAGCCAGGCGAGTTGCTCCTAGCACCCCCACCAGCCAGGCGAGTTGCTCCCAGCACCCCCACCGGCCAAGCGAGTTGCTCCCAGCACCCCCACCAGCCAGGCGAGTTGCTCCCAGCACCCCCACCAGACAGGTGAGTTGCTCCCAGCTCCCCCACAGGCAAGGCGAGTTGCTCACAGCACCCCCACCAGCCAGGCAAGTTGCTCCTAGCACCCCCACCAGCCAGGCAAGTTGCTCCCAGCACCCCCGCCAGCCAGGCGAGTTGCTCCCAGCACCCCCACCAGCCAGGTGAGTTGCTCCCTGCACCCCCACCAGCCAGACGAGTTGCTCCCAGCGCCCCCACCAGCCAGGCAAGTTGCTCCCAGCACCCCCACCAGCCAGGCGAGTTGCTCCCAGCACTCCCACTAGCCAGACGAGTTGCTCCCAGCGCCCCCACCAGCCAGTTGAGTTGCTCCCAGCACCCCCACCAGCCAGGCGAGTTGCTCCCAGCACCCCCACCAGCCAGTTGAGTTGCTCCCAGCACCCCCACCAGCCAGTCGAGTTGCTCCCAGCACCCCCACCAGCCAGGCGAGTTGCTCCCAGCACCCCCACCAGCCAGACGAGTTGCTCCCAGCACCCGCACCCGCCAGGCGAGTTGCTCCCAGCACCCCCACCAGCCAAGCGAGTTGCTCCCAGCACCCCCACCAGCCAGGTGAGTTGCTCCCAGTACCCCCACCAGCCAGACGAGTTGCTCCCAGCACCCCCACCAGCCAGGCAAGTTGCTCCCAACACCCCCACCAGCCAGGCGAGTTGCTCCCAGCACCCCCACCGGCTAGGCGAGTTGCTCCCAGCACCCGCACCAGTCAGGCGAGTTGCTCCCAGCACCCCCATTATCTAGGTGAGTTGCTCCCAGCACCCCCACAAGCCAGACGAGTTGCTCCGAGCACCCCCACCAGCCAGGCGAGTTGCTCCCAACACCCCCACCAGCCAGGCGAGTTGCTCCCAGCACCCCCACCAGCCAGGTGAGTTGCTCCCAGCACCCCCACCAGCCAGACGAGTTGCTCCCAGCACCCCCACCAGCCAGGCGAGTTGCTCCCAACACCCCCACCAGCCAGGCGAGTTGCTCCCAGCACCCCCACCAGCCAGTCGAGTTGCTCCCAGCACCCCCACCAGCCAGTTGAGTTGCTCCCAGCACCCCCACCATCCAGGTGAGTTGCTCTCAGCACCCCCACCGGCCAGGCGAGTTGCTCCCAGCACCCCCACCAGCCAGGCGAGTTGCTCACAGCACCCCCACCAGCCAGGCGAGTTGCTCCCAGCACCCCCACCAGCCAGGCGAGTTGCTCCCAGCACCCCCACCAGCCAGGCGAGTTGCTCCTAGCACCCCCACCAGCCAGGTGAGTTGCTCCCAGCACCCCCACCAGCCAGGCGAGTTGCTCCCACCACCCCCACCAGCCAGGCGAGTTCCTCCCAGCACCCCCACCAGCCAGGGGAGTTGCTCCCAGCACCCCCACCAGCCAGGCGAGTTGCTCCCAGCACCCCCACCAGCCAGGCGAGTTGCTCCCAGCACCCCCACCGGCCAAGCGAGTTGCTCCCAGCACCCCCACCAGCCAGGCGAGTTGCTCCCAGCACCCCCACCAGACAGGTGAGTTGCTCCCAGCACCCCCACCAGCCAGGTGAGTTGCTCCCAGCACCCCCACCAGCCAGGTCAGTTGCTCCCAGCACCCCCACCAGCCAGGCGAGTTGCTCCCAGCACCCCCACCAGCCAGGTGAGTTGCTCCCTGCACCCCCACCAGCCAGGCGAGTTGCTCTCAGCACCCCCACCAGCCAGGCGAGTTGCTCCCAGCACCCCCACCAGCCAGTTGAGTTGCTCCCAGCACCCCCACCAGCCAGTTGAGTTGCTCCCAGCACCCCCACCAGCCACGTGAGTTGCTCCCAGCACCCCCACCAGCCAGGCGAGTTGCTCCCAGCACCTGCACCAGCCAGGTGAGTTGCTCCCAGCACTTCCACCAGCCAGGCGAGTTGCTCACAGCACCCCCACCAGCCAGGCGAGTTGCTCCCAGCTACCCCGGCGAGTTGCTCCCAGCACCCCCACCAGCCAGGCGAGTTGCTCCTAGCACCCCCACCAGCAAGTTGAGTTGCTCCCAGCACCCCCACCAGCCAGTTGAGTTGCTCCCAGCACCCCCACCAGCCAGGTGAGTTGCTCCTAGCACCCCCGCCATCCAGTTGAGTTGCTCCCAGCACCCCCACTATCCAGTTGAGTTGCTCCTAGCACCCCCACCAGCCAGGTGAGTTGCTCCTAGCACCCCCACCAGCCAGGCGAGTTGCTCCCAACACCCCCACCAGCTAGGCGAGTTGCTCCCAACACCCCCACCAGCCAGGCGAGTTGCTCCCAGCACCCCCACCAGCCAGGCGAGTTGCTCCCAGCACCCCCACCAGCCAGGTGACTTGCTACCAGCACCCCCACCAGCCAGGTGAGTTGCTCCCAGCACCCCCACCAGCCAGGGGAGTTGCTCCCAGCACCCCCACCAGCCAGGCGAGTTGCTCCCAGCACCCCCACCAGCCATTCGAGTTGCTCCTAGCACCCCCACCAGCCAGGTGAGTTGCTCCCAGCACCCCCACCGGCTAGGCCAGTTGCTCCCAGCACCCGCACCAGCCAGGCGAGTTGCTCCCAGCACCCCCACCATCCAGGTGAGTTGCTCCCAGCACCCCCACCAGCCAGACGAGTTGCTCCGAGCACCCCCACCAGCCAGGCGAGTTGCTCCCAACACCCCCACCAGCCAGGCGAGTTGCTCCCAGCACCCCCACCAGCCAGGTGAGTTGCTCCCAGCACCCCCACCAGCCAGACGAGTTGCTCCCAGCACCCCCACCAGCCAGGCGAGTTGCTCCCAACACCCCCACCAGCCAGGCGAGTTGCTCCCAGCACCCCCACCAGCCAGGCGAGTTGCTCCCAGCACCCCCACCAGCCAGGCGAGTTGCTCCCAGCACCCCCACCATCCAGGTGAGTTGCTCCCAGCACCCCCACCAGCCAGACGAGTTGCTCCGAGCACCCCCACCAGCCAGGCGAGTTGCTCCCAACACCCCCACCAGCCAGGCGAGTTGCTCCCAGCACCCCCACCAGCCAGGTGAGTTGCTCCCAGCACCCCCACCAGCCAGACGAGTTGCTCCCAGCACCCCCACTAGCCAGGTGAGTTGCTCCCAGCACCCCCACCAGCCACGTGAGTTGCTCTCAGCACCCCCACCGGCCAGGCCAGTTGCTCCCAGCACCCCCACCAGCCAGGCGAGTTGCTCCCAGCACCCCCACCAGCCAGGCGAGTTGCTCCCAGCACCCCCACCAGCCAGGCGAGTTGCTCCCAGCACCCCCACCAGCCAGGTGAGTTGCTCCCAGCACCCCCACCAGCCAGGTGAGTTGCTCCCAGCACCCCCACCAGCCAGGCGAGTTGCTCCCACCACCCCCACCAGCCAGGCGAGTTGCTCCCAGCACCCCCACCAGCCAGGCGAGTTGCTCCCAGCACCCCCACCAGCCAGGCGAGTTGCTTCTAGCACCCCCACCAGCCAGACGAGTTGCTCCCAGCACCCCCACCGGCCAAGCGAGTTGCTCCCAGCACCCCCACCAGCCAGGCGAGTTGCTCCCAGCACCCCCACCAGACAGGTGAGTTGCTCCCAGCACCCCCACCGGCCAGGCGAGTTGCTCACAGCACCCCCACCAGCCAGGCAAGTTGCTCCTAGCACCCCCACCAGCCAAGCAAGTTGCTCCCAGCACCCCCGCCAGCCAGGCGAGTTGCTCCCAGCACCCCCACCAGCCAGGTGAGTTACTCCCTGCACCCCCACCAGCCAGACGAGTTGCTCCCAGCGCCCCCACCAGCCAGGCAAGTTGCTCCCAGCACCCCCACCAGCCAGGCGAGTTGCTCCCAGCACTCCCACCAGCCAGACGAGTTGTTCCCAGCGCCCCCACCAGCCAGTTGAGTTGCTCCCAGCACCCCCACCAGCCAGGCGAGTTGCTCCCAGCACCCCCACCAGCCAGTTGAGTTGCTCCCAGCACCCCCACCAGCCAGTCGAGTTGCTCCCAGCACCCCCACCAGCCAGGCGAGTTGCTCCCAGCACCCCCACCAGCCAGACGAGTTGCTCCCAGCACCCGCACCCGCCAGGCGAGTTGCTCCCAGCACCCCCACCAGCCAAGCAAGTTGCTCCCAGCACCCCCACCAGCCAGGTGAGTTGCTCCCAGCACCCCCACCAGCCAGACGAGTTGCTCCCAGCACCCCCACCAGCCAGGCGAGTTGCTCCCAACACCCCCACCAGCCAGGCGAGTTGCTCCCAGCACCCCCACCGGCTAGGCGAGTTGCTCCCAGCACCCGCACCAGCCAGGCGAGTTGCTCCCAGCACCCCCACCAGCCAGGCGAGTTGCTCCCAGCACCCCCACCAGCCAGGCGAGTTGCTCCCAGCACCCCCACCAGCCAGGTGAGTTGCTCCCAGCACCCCCACCAGCCAGGTGAGTTGCTCCCAGCACCCCCACCAGCCAGGCGAGTTGCTCCCACCACCCCCACCAGCCAGGCGAGTTGCTCCCAGCACCCCCACCAGCCAGGCGAGTTGCTCCCAGCACCCCCACCAGCCAGGCGAGTTGCTACTAGCACCCCCACCAGCCAGGCGAGTTGCTCCCAGCACCCCCACCAGCCAGGTGAGTTGCTCCCTGCACCCCCACCAGCCAGACGAGTTGCTCCCAGCGCCCCCACCAGCCAGGGAAGTTGCTCCCAGCACCCCCACCAGCCAGGCGAGTTGCTCCCAGCACTCCCACCAGCCAGACGAGTTGCTCCCAGCGCCCCCACCAGCCAGTTGAGTTGCTCCCAGCACCCCCACCAGCCAGGCGAGTTGCTCCCAGCACCCCCACCAGCCAGTTGAGTTGCTCCCAGCACCCCCACCAGCCAGTCGAGTTGCTCCCAGCACCCCCACCAGCCAGGCGAGTTGCTCCCAGCACCCCCACCAGCCAGACGAGTTGCTCCCAGCACCCGCACCCGCCAGGCGAGTTGCTCCCAGCACCCCCACCAGCCAAGCGAGTTGCTTCCAGCACCCCCACCAGCCAGGTGAGTTGCTCCCAGCACCCCCACCAGCCAGACGAGTTGCTCCCAGCACCCCCACCAGCCAGGCGAGTTGCTCCCAACACCCCCACCAGCCAGGCGAGTTGCTCCCAGCACCCCCACAGGCTAGGCGAGTTGCTCCCAGCACCCGCACCAGTCAGGCGAGTTGCTCCCAGCACCCCCATTATCCAGGTGAGTTGCTCCCAGCACCCCCACAAGCCAGACGAGTTGCTCCGAGCACCCCCACCAGCCAGGCGAGTTGCTCCCAACACCCCCACCAGCCAGGCGAGTTGCTCCCAGCACCCCCACCAGCCAGGTGAGTTGCTCCCAGCACCCCCACCAGCCAGACGAGTTGCTCCCAGCACCCCCACCAGCCAGGCGAGTTGCTCCCAACACCCCCACCAGCCAGGCGAGTTGCTCCCAGCACCCCCACCAGCCAGTCGAGTTGCTCCCAGCACCCCCACCAGCCAGGTGAGTTGCTCCCAGCACCCCCACCAGCCAGGCGAGTTGCTCCCAGCACCCCCACCAGCCAGGTGAGTTGCTCTCAGCACCCCCACCGGCCAGGCGAGTTGCTCCCAGCACCCCCACCAGCCAGGCGAGTTGCTCACAGCACCCCCATCAGCCAGGCGAGTTGCTCCCAGCACCCCCACCAGCCAAGCGAGTTGCTCCCAGCACCCCCACCAGCCAGGTGAGTTGCTCCTAGCACCCCCACCAGCCAGGTGAGTTGCTCCCAGCACCCCCACCAGCCAGGCGAGTTGCTCCCAACACCCCCACCAGCCAGGCGAGTTGCTCCCAGCACCCCCACAGGCTAGGCGAGTTGCTCCCAGCACCCGCACCAGTCAGGCGAGTTGCTCCCAGCACCCCCATTATCCAGGTGAGTTGCTCCCAGCACCCCCACAAGCCAGACGAGTTGCTCCGAGCACCCCCACCAGCCAGGCGAGTTGCTCCCAACACCCCCACCAGCCAGGCGAGTTGCTCCCAGCACCCCCACCAGCCAGGTGAGTTGCTCCCAGCACCCCCACCAGCCAGACGAGTTGCTCCCAGCACCCCCACCAGCCAGGCGAGTTGCTCCCAACACCCCCACCAGCCAGGCGAGTTGCTCCCAGCACCCCCACCAGCCAGTCGAGTTGCTCCCAGCACCCCCACCAGCCAGGTGAGTTGCTCCCAGCACCCCCACCAGCCAGGCGAGTTGCTCCCAGCACCCCCACCAGCCAGGTGAGTTGCTCTCAGCACCCCCACCGGCCAGGCGAGTTGCTCCCAGCACCCCCACCAGCCAGGCGAGTTGCTCACAGCACCCCCACCAGCCAGGCGAGTTGCTCCCAGCACCCCCACCAGCCAAGCGAGTTGCTCCCAGCACCCCCACCAGCCAGGTGAGTTGCTCCTAGCACCCCCACCAGCCAGGTGAGTTGCTCCCAGCACCCCCACCAGCCAGGCGAGTTGCTCCTAGCACCCCCACCAGCCAGGCGAGTTGCTCCCACCACCCCCACCAGCCAGGCGAGTTCCTCCCAGCACCCCCACCAGCCAGGGGAGTTGCTCCCAGCACCCCCACCAGCCAGGCGAGTTGCTCCCAGCACCCCCACCAGCCAGGCGAGTTGCTCCCAGCACCCCCACCGGCCAAGCGAGTTGCTCCCAGCACCCCCACCAGCCAGGCGAGTTGCTCCCAGCACCCCCACCAGACAGGTGAGTTGCTCCCAGCACCCCCACCGGCCAGGCGAGTTGCTCCCAGCACCCCCACCAGCCAGGCAAGTTGCTCCTAGCACCCCCACCAGCCAGGCAAGTTGCTCCAAGCACCCCCGCCAGCCAGGCGAGTTGCTCCCAGCACCCCCACGAGCCAGGTGAGTTGCTCCCAGCACCCCCACCAGCCAGACGAGTTGCTCCCAGCGCCCCCACCAGCCAGGCAAGTTGCTCCCAGCACCCCCACCAGCCAGGCGAGTTGCTCCCAGCACTCCCACCAGCCAGACGAGTTGCTCCCAGCGCCCCCACCAGCCAGTTGAGTTGCTCCCAGCACCCCCACCAGCCAGGCGAGTTGCTCCCAGCACCCCCACCGGCCATGTGAGTTGCTCCCAGCACCCCCGCCAGCCAAGTGAGTTGCTCTCAGCACCCCCACCAGCCAGGTGAGTTGCTCCCAGCACCCCCACCAGCCAGGTGAGTTGCTCCCAACACCCCCACCAGCCAGGCGAGTTGCTCCAAGCATTCCCACCAGCCAGGCGAGTTGCTCTCAGCACCCCCACCAGCCAGGCGAGTTGCTCCGAGCACCCGCACCAGCCAGGTGAGTTGCTCTCCGCACCCCCACCTGCCGGGTGAGTTGCTCCTAGCATCCCCACCAGCCAGGCGAGTTGCTCCCAGCACCCCCACCAGCCAGGTGAGTTGCTCCTAGCATTCCCACCAGCCAGGCGAGTTGCTCCCAGCACCCCCACCAGCCAGGCGAGTTGCTCCGAGCACCCCCACCTGCCAGGTGAGTTGCTCTCAGCACCCCCACCAGCCGGGTGAGTTGCTCCTAGCATCCCCACCAGCCAGGCGAGTTGCTCCCAGCACCCCCACCAGCCAGGTGAGTTGCTCCGAGCATTCCCACCAGCCAGGCGAGTTGCTCCGAGCACCCCCACCAGCCAGGTGAGTTGCTCTCAGCACCCCCACCAGCCGGGTGAGTTGCTCCTAGCATCCCCACCAGCCAGGCGAGTTGCTCCCAGCACCCCCACCAGCCAGAAGAGTTGCTCCGAGCATTCCCACCAGCCAGGCGAGTTGCTCCAAGCACCCCCACCAGCCAGGCGAGTTGCTCCGAGCACCCCCACCAGCCAGGTGAGTTGCTCTCAGCACCCCCACCAGCCGGGTGAGTTGCTCCTAGCATCCCCACCAGCCAGGCGAGTTGCTCCCAGCACCCCCACCAGCCAGTTGAGTTGCTCCCAGCACCCCCACCAGCCAGTTGAGTTGCTCCCAGCACCCCCACCAGCCAGGCGAGTTGCTCCGAGCACCCCCACCAGCCAGGTGAGTTGCTCCCAGCACCCCCACCAGCCAGGTGAGTTGCTCCTAGCACCCCCATCAGCCAAGTGAGTTGCTCCCAGCACCCCCACCAGCCAGGTGAGTTGCTCCCAGCACTCCCACCAGCCAGGCGAGTTGCTCCCAACACCCCCACCAGACTGGCGAGTTGCTCCCAGCACCCCCACCAGCCAGGCGAGTTGCTCCCAGCACCCCCACCAGCCAGTTGAGTTGCTCCCAGCACCCCCACCAGCCGGTTGAGTTGCTCCCAGCACCCCCACCTGCCAGGTGAGTTGCTCTCAGCACCCCCACCAGCCAGGTGAGTTGCTCCCAGCACTCCCACCAGCCATGCGAGTTGCTCCCAGCGCCCCCACCAGCCAGGCGAGTTGCTCCCAGAACCCCCACCAGCCAGTTGAGTTGCTCCCAGCACCCCCACCAGCCAGGTGAGTTGCTCCCAGCACCCCCACCAGCCAGGTGAGTTGCTCCCAGCACTCCCACCAGCCAGGCGAGTTGCTCCCAGCACCCCCACCAGCCAGTTGAGTTGCTCCCAGCACCCCCACCAGCCAGTTGAGTTGCTCCCAGCACCCCCACCAGCCAGTTGAGTTGCTCCCAGCACCCCCACCAGCCAGTCGAGTTGCTCCCAGCACCCCCACCAGCCAGGCGAGTTGCTCCCAGCACCCCCACCAGCCAGACGAGTTGCTCCCAGCACCCGCACCCGCCAGTCGAGTTGCTCCCAGCACCCCCACCAGCCAGGCGAGTTGCTCCCAGCACCCCCACCAGCCATGCGAGTTGCTCCCAGCACCCCCACCAGCCAGGCGAGTTGTTCCAAGCACCCCCACCGGCCAGGCGAGTTGCTCCCAGCACCCCCACCGGCCAGGCGAGTTGCTCCTAGCATCCCCACCGGCAAGGTGAGTTGCTCCCAGCACCCCCACCAGCCAGGCGAGTTGCTCCAAGCACCCCCACCAGCCAGGTGAGTTGCTCCCAGCACCCCCACCAGCCAGGTGAGTTGCTCCTAGCATTCCCACCAGCCAGGCGAGTTGCTCCCAGCACCCCCACCAGCCAAGCGAGTTGCTCCCAGCACCCGCACCCGCCAGGCGAGTTGCTCCCAGCACCCCCACCAGCCAGGCGAGTTGCTCCCAGCACCCCCACCAGCCATGCGAGTTGCTCCCAGCACCCCCACCAGCCAGGCGAGTTGTTCCAAGCACCCCCACCGGCCAGGCGAGTTGCTCCCAGCACCCCCACCGGCCAGGCGAGTTGCTCCTAGCATCCCCACCGGCAAGGTGAGTAGCTCCCAGCACCCCCACCAGCCAGGCGAGTTGCTCCAAGCACCCCCACCAGCCAGGTGAGTTGCTCCCAGCACCCCCACCAGCCAGGTGAGTTGCTCCTAGCATCCCCACCGGCAAGGTGAGTTGCTCCCAGCACCCCCACCGGCCAGGTGAGTTGCTCCCAGCACCGCCACCAGCCAGGTGAGTTGCTCCCAGCACCCCACCAGCCAGGTGAGTTGCTCCCAGCACCCCACCAGCCAGGTGAGTTGCTCCCAGCACCCCCACCAGCCAGGTGAGTTGCTCTCAGCACCCCCACCAGCCAGGTGAGTTGCTCCCAGCACCCCCACCAGCCAGGCGAGTTGCTCCGAGCACCCCCACCAGCCAGGTGAGTTGCTCCCAGCACCCCCACCAGCCAGTTGAGTTGCTCCCAGCACCCCCACCAGCCAGGCGAGTTGCTCCCAGCACCCCCACCAGCCAGGCGAGTTCCTCCCAGCACCCCCACCAGCCTGGCGAGTTGCTCCCAGCACCCCCACCAGCCAGGCGAGTTGCTCCCAGCACCCCCACCAGCCAGGCGAGTTGCTCCCAGCACCCCCACCAGCCAGGCGAGTTGCTCCCAGCACCCCCACCAGCCAGGTGAGTTGCTCCCAGCACCCCCACCAGCCAGGTGAGTTGCTCCTAGCATCCCCACCAGCCTGGCGAGTTGCTCCCAGCACTTCCACCAGCCAGGCGAGTTGCTCCCAGCACCCCCACCAGCCAGGTGAGTTGCTCCCATCACCCCCACCAGCCAGGCGAGTTGCTCCCAGCACCCCCACTAGCCACGCGAGTTGCTCCCAGCACCCCCACCCGCCAGGCGAGTTGCTCCCAGCACCCAGACCAGCCAGGCGAGTTGCTCCCAGCACCCCCACCAGCCAGGTGAGTTGCTCCCAGCACCCCCACCAGCCAGGTGAGTTGCTCCCAGCACCCCTACCAGCCAGGTGAGTTGCTCCCAGCACCCCCACCAGCTAGGTGAGTTGCTCCCAGCACCCCCACCAGCCTGGCGAGTTGCTCCCAGCACCCCCACCAGCCAGGTGAGTTGCTCCCAGCACCCCCACCGGCCAGGTGAGTTGCTCCCAGCACCCCCACCGGCCAGGTGAGTTGCTCCCAGCACCCCCACCGGCCAGGCGAGTTGCTCCCAGCACCCCCACCAGCCAGGCGAGTTGCTCCAAGCACCCCCACCAGCCAGGAGAGTTGCTCCCGGCACCCCCACCAGCCAGGCAAGTTTCTCCCAGCATCCCCACCAGCCAGGTGAGTTGCTCCTAGCATCCCCACCAGCCAGATAAGTTGCTCCCAGCACCCCCACCAGCCAGGCGAGTTTCTCCCAGCAAACCCACCAGCCAGGCGAGTTGCTCCCAGCACCCCCATCAGCCAGGTGAGTTGCTCCCGGCACCCCCACCAGCCAGGTGAATTGCTCCCAGCACCCCCACCAGCCAGGTGAGTTGCTCCCAGCACCCCCACCAGCCAGGTGAGTTGCTCCCAGCACCCCCACCAGCCAGGTGAGTTGCTCCCAGCAACCCTACCAGCCAGGTGAGTTGCTCCCAGCACCCCAACCAGCCAGGTGAGTTGCTCATAGCATCCCCACCAGCCAGGCGAGTTGCTCCAAGCACCCCCACCAGCCAGGCGAGTTGCTCCCAGCACCCCCACCAGCCAGGCGAGTTGCTCCCAGCACCCCCACTAGCCAGGCGAGTTGCTCCCAGCACCCCCACCAGCAAGGCGAGTTGCTCCCAGCACCCAGACCAGCCAGGCGAGTTGCTCCCAGCACCCCCACCAGCCAGGTGAGTTGCTCCCAGCATCCCCACCAGCCAGGTGAGTTGCTCCCAGCACCCCTACCAGCCAGGTGAGTTGCTCCCAGCACCCCCACCAGCTAGGTGAGTTGCTCGAAGCACCCCCACCAGCCAGGTGAGTTGCTCCCAGCACCCCCACCAGCCAGGTGAGTTGCTCCCAGCACCCCCAACGGCCAGGCGAGTTGCTTCCAGCACCCCCACCAGCCAGGTGAGTTGCTCCCAGCACCCCCACCAGCCAGGTGAGTTGCTCTCAGCAACCACACCAGCCAGGTGAGTTGCTCCCAGCACCCCCACCGGCCAGGTGATTTGCTCCCAGCACCCCCGCCGGCCAGGTGAGTTGCTCCCAGCACCCCCACCGGCCAGGCGAGTTGCTCCCAGCACCCCCACCAGCCAGGCGAGTTGCTTCAAGCACCCCCACCAGCCAGGAGAGTTGCTCCCGGCACCCCCACCAGCCAGGCGAGTTGCTCCCAGCATCCCCACTAGCCAGGTGAGTTGCTCCTAGCATCCCCACCAGCCAGATAAGTTGCTCCCAGCACCCCCACCAGCCAGGCGAGTTTCTCCCAGCAAACCCACCAGCCAGGCGAGTTGCTCCCAGCACCCCCATCAGCCAGGTGAGTTGCTCCCGGCACCCCCTCCAGCCAGGTGAATTGCTCCCAGCACCCCCACCAGCCAGGTGAGTTGCTCCCAGCACCCCCACCAGCCAGGTGAGTTGCTCCTAGCACCCCCACCAGCCAGGTGAGTTGCTCCCAGCAACCCTACCTGCCAGGTGAGTTGCTCCCAGCACCCCAACCAGCCAGGTGAGTTGCTTAAAGCATCCCCACCAGCTAGGCGAGTTGCTCCCAGCACCCCCACCAGCCAGGCGAGTTGCTCCCAGCACCCCCACCAGCCAGGCGAGTTGCTCCCAGCACCCCCACTAGCCAGGCGAGTTGCTCCCAGCACCCCCACCAGCCAGGCGAGTTGCTCCCATCACCCAGACCAGCCAGGCGAGTTGCTCCCAGCACCCCCACCAGCCAGGTGAGTTGCTCCCAGCACCCCCACCAGCCAGGTGAGTTGCTCCCAGCACCCCTACCAGCCAGGTGAGTTGCTCCCAGCACCCCCACCAGCTAGGTGAGTTGCTCCCAGCACCCCCACCAGCCAGTTGAGTTGCTCCCAGCACCCCCACCAGCCAGGTGAGTTGCTCCCAGCACCCCCACCGGCCAGGCGAGTTGCTTCCAGCACCCCCACCAGCCAGGTGAGTTGCTCCCAGCACCCCCACCAGCCAGGTGAGTTGCTCTCAGCACCCCCACCAGCCAGGTGAGTTGCTCCCAGCACCCCCACCAGCCAGGTGAGTTGCTCCCAGCACCCCCACCAGCCAGGTGAGTTGCTCCCAGCACCCCCACCAGCCAGGTGAGTTGTTCCCAGCAACCCCACCAGCCAGGCAAGTTGCTCCTAGCATCCCCTCCAACCAGGTGAGTTGCTCCCAGCACCCGCACCAGCCAGGTGAGTTGCTCCCAGCTCCCCCACCAGCCAGGTGAGTTGCTCCCAGCACCCCCACCGGCCAGGTGAGTTGCTCCCAGCACCCCCACCAGCCAGGCGAGTTGCTCCCAGCATTCCCAACGGCCAGGCGAGTTGCTCCCAGCACCCCCACCAGCCAGGCGAGTTGCTCCCAGCACCCCCACCAGCCAGGTGAGTTGCTCCTAGCACCCCCACCAGCCAGGCGAGTTGCTCCCAGCACCCCCACCAGCCAGGCGAGTTGCTCCCAGCACCCCCACCAGCCAGGCGAGTTGCTCCCAGCACCCCCACCAGCCAGGTGAGTTGCTCTCAGCACCCCCACCAGCCAGGTGAGTTGCTCCCAGCACCCCCACCGGCCAGGTGAGTTGCTCCCAGCACCCCCGCCGGCCAGGTGAGTTGCTCCCAGCACCCCCACCGGCCAGGCGAGTTGCTCCCAGCACCCCCACCAGCCAGGCGAGTTGCTTCAAGCACCCCCACCAGCCAGGAGAGTTGCTCCCGGCACCCCCACCAGCCACGCGAGTTGCTCCCAGCATCCCCACTAGCCAGGTGAGTTGCTCCTAGCATCTCCACCAGCCAGATAAGTTGCTCCCAGCACCCCCACCAGCCAGGCGAGTTTCTCCCAGCAAACCCACCAGCCAGGCGAGTTGCTCCCAGCACCCCCATCAGCCAGGTGAGTTGCTCCCGGCACCCCCACCAGCCAGGTGAATTGCTCCCAGCACCCCCACCAGCCAGGTGAGTTGCTCCCAGCACCCCCACCAGCCAGGTGAGTTGCTCCCAGCACCCCCACCAGCCAGGTGAGTTGCTCCCAGCAACCCTACCTGCCAGGTGAGTTGCTCCCAGCACCCCAACCAGCCAGGTGAGTTGCTTAAAGCATCCCCACCAGCCAGGCGAGTTGCTCCCAGCACCCCCACCAGCCAGGCGAGTTGCTCCCAGCACCCCCACCAGCCAGGCGAGTTGCTCCCAGCACCCCCACTAGCCAGGCGAGTTGCTCCCAGCACCCCCACCAGCCAGGCGAGTTGCTCCCATCACCCAGACCAGCCAGGCGAGTTGCTCCCAGCACCCCCACCAGCCAGGTGAGTTGCTCCCAGCACCCCCACCAGCCAGGTGAGTTGCTCCCAGCACCCCTACCAGCCAGGTGAGTTGCTCCCAGCACCCCCACCAGCTAGGTGAGTTGCTCCCAGCACCCCCACCAGCCAGTTGAGTTGCTCCCAGCACCCCCACCAGCCAGGTGAGTTGCTCCCAGCACCCCCACCGGCCAGGCGAGTTGCTTCCAGCACCCCCACCAGCCAGGTGAGTTGCTCCCAGCACCCCCACCAGCCAGGTGAGTTGCTCTCAGCACCCCCACCAGCCAGGTGAGTTGCTCCCAGCACCCCCACCAGCCAGGTGAGTTGCTCCCAGCACCCCCACCAGCCAGGTGAGTTGCTCCCAGCACCCCCACCAGCCAGGTGAGTTGTTCCCAGCAACCCCACCAGCCAGGCGAGTTGCTCCTAGCATCCCCTCCAACCAGGTGAGTTGCTCCCAGCACCCCCACCAGCCAGGTGAGTTGCTCCCAGCACCCCCACCAGCCAGGTGAGTTGCTCCCAGCACCCCCACCAGCCAGGTGAGTTGTTCCCAGCAACCCCACCAGCCAGGCAAGTTGCTCCTAGCATCCCCTCCAACCAGGTGAGTTGCTCCCAGCACCCGCACCAGCCAGGTGAGTTGCTCCCAGCTCCCCCACCAGCCAGGTGAGTTGCTCCCAGCACCCCCACCGGCCAGGTGAGTTGCTCCCAGCACCCCCACCAGCCAGGCGAGTTGCTCCCAGCATTCCCACCAGCCAGGCGAGTTGCTCCCAGCACCCCCACCAGCCAGGCGAGTTGCTCCCAGCACCCCCACCAGCCAGGTGAGTTGCTCCTAGCACCCCTACCAGCCAGGCGAGTTGCTCCCAGCACCCCCACCAGCCAGGCGAGTTGCTCCCAGCACCCCCACCAGCTAGTTGAGTTGCTCCCAGCACCCCCACCAGCAAGTTGCGTTGCTCCCAGCACCCCCACCAGCCAGGTGAGTTGCTCCCAGCACCCCCACCAGCCAGGTGAGTTGCTCCCAGCAACCCTACCAGCCAGGTGAGTTGCTCCCAGCACCCCACCAGCCAGGCGAGTTGCTCCCAGCACCCCCACCAGCTAGGCGAGTTGCTCCGAGCACCCCAACCAGCCAGGTGAGTTGCTCATAGCATCCCCACCAGCCAGGCGAGTTGCTCCCAGCACCCCCACCAGCCAGGTGAGTTGCTCCCAGCACCCCCACCAGCCAGGTGAGTTGCTCCCAGCACCCCTACCAGCCAGGTGAGTTGCTCCCAGCACCCCCACGAGCTAGGTGAGTTGCTCCCAGCACCCCCACCAGCCAGGTGAGTTGCTCCCACCACCCCCACCAGCCAGGTGAGTTGCTCCCAGCACCCCCACTAGCCAGGTGAGTTGCTCCCAGCACCCCCACCAGCCAGGCGAGTTGCTCCAAGCACCCCCACCAGCCAGGCGAGTTGCTCCCAGCATCCCCACCAGCCAGGCGAGTTGCTCCCAGCACCCCCACCAGCCAGGCGAGTTGCTCCCAACACCCCCACCAGCCAGGTGAGTTGCTCCCAGCAACCCCACCAGCCAGGTGAGTTGCTCCCAGCACCCCCAACAGCCAGGTGAGTTGCTGTCAGCACCCCCACCAGCCAGGTGAGTTGCTCCCAGCACCCCCACCAGCCAGGCGAGTTGCTCCCAGCACCCCCACCAGCCAAGCGAGTTGCTCCCAGCACCCCCACCAGCCAGGCGAGTTGCTCCCAGCACCTCCACCAGCCAGGTGAGTTGCTCCCAGCACCCCCACTAGCCAGACGAGTTGCTCCTAGCATCCTCACCAGCCAGGTGAGTTGCTCCCAGCACCCCCACCAGCCAGGTGAGTTGCTCCCAGCACCCCCACCAGCCAGGCGAGTTGCTCTCAGCACCCCCACCAGCCAGGTGAGTTGCTCCCAGCACCCCCACTAGCCAGGCGAGTTGCTCCCAGCACCCCCACCAGCCAGGTGAGTTGCTCCTAGCACCCCCACCAGCCAGGTGAGTTGCTCCCAGCACCCCCACCAGCCAGGTGAGTTGCTCCCAACACCCCCACCAGCCAGGTGAGTTGCTCCCAGCACCCCCACCAGCCAGGTGAGTTGCTCCCAGCACCCCCACCAGCCAGGTGAGTTGCTCCCAGCACCCCCACCAGCCAGGTGAGTTGCTCCCAGCACCCCCACCAGCCATGTAAGTTGCTCCCAGCACCCCCACCAGCCAGGCGAGTTGCTCCCAGCACCCCCACCAACCAGGTGAGTTGCTCCCAGCACCCCCACCAGCCAGGTGAGTTGCTCCCAGCACCCCTCCCAGCCAGGCGAGTTGATGGAAAGCAGGAGAATGGGGCGGGGTGATGGAAGGATGGAGAATGGGTCAGGGTGATAGAATGCAGGAGAATGGGGCGGGATGATGGAAAGAGGGAGAATGGGGCGGGGTGATGGAAAGTGGGAGAATGGGGCGGGGTGATGGAAAGAGGGAGAATGGGGAGGGGTGATGGAAAGCGGGAGAATGGGGCGGGGTGATGAAAAGTTGGAGAATGGGGCGGTGTGATGGGAAGAGGGAGAATGGGGCGGGGTGATGGAAAGCGGGAGAATGGGGCAGGGTGATGGACAGCGGGAGAATGGGGAGGGGTGATGGAAAGCAGGAGAATGGGGCGGGGTGATGGAAAGCGGGAGAATGGGGCGGGGTGATGGAAAACGGGAGAATGGGGCGGGGTGATCGAAAACGGGAGAATGGGGCAGGGTGATGGACAGCGGGAGAATGGGGAGGGGTGATGGAAAGCGGGAGAATGGGGCAGGGTGATGGAAAGAGGGAGAATGGGGCGGGGTGATGGAAAGCGGGAGAATGGGGCGGGGTGATGGAAAGCGGGAGAATGGGGCGGGGTGATGGAAAGAGGGAGAATGGGGAGGGGTGATGGAAAGAGTGAGAATTGGGAGGGGTGATGGAAAGCGGGAGAATGGGGCGGGGTGATGGAAAGCGGGAGAGGGGCGGGGTGATGGAAATCGGGAGAATGGGGCGGGGTGATGAAAAGCGGGAGAATGGGGCGGGGTGATGGAAAGAGGGAGAATGGGGCGGGGTGATGGAAAGCGGGAGAATGGGGCGGGGTGATGGAAAGCAGGAGAATGTGGCGGGGTGATGGAAAGCGGGAGAATGGGGCGAGGTGATGGAAATCGAGAGAATGGGGCGAAGTGATGGAAAGCTGGAGAATGGGACGGGGTGATGGAAATCGGGAGAATGGGGCGGGGTGATGGAAAGCGGGAGAATGGGGCGGAGTGATGGAAAGCGGGAGAATGGGGCGGGGTGATGGAAAGAGGGAGAATGGGGCGGGGTGATGGAAAACGGGAGAATGGGGCGGGGTGATGGAAAGAGGGAGAATGGGGCGGGGTGATGGAAAGCGGGAGAATGGGGCGGGGTGATGGAAAGCGGGAGAATGGGGCGGGGTGATGGAAAGCGGGAGAATGGGGCGGGGTGATGGAAAGAGGGAGAATGGGGCGGGGTGATGGAAAGCGGGAGAATGGGGCGGGGTGATGGAAAGCGGGAGAATGGGGCGGGGTGATGGAAAGAGGGAGAATGGGGCGGGGTGATGGAAGGCGGGAGAATGGGGCGGGGTGATGGAAAGCGGGAGAATTGGGCAGGGTGATGGAAAGATGGAGAATGGGGCGGGGTGATGGAAGGCGGGAGAATGGGCGGGGTGATGGCAAGAGGGAGAATAGGGAGGGGTGATGGAAAGAGGGAGAATGGGGAGGGGTGATGGAAAGCGGAAGAATGGGACGGGGTGATGAAAAGAGAGAAAATGGGGCGGGGTAATGGATTGGGGGAGAATGGGGCGGGGTGATGGAAAGAGGGAGAATGGGGCGGGATGATGGAAAGAGGGAAAATTGGGCGGGGTGATGGAAAGCGGGAGAATGGGACGGGGTGATGGAAAGCAGTAGAATGGGGTGGGGTGATGGAAAGAGGGAGAATGGTGCGGGGTGATGGAAAGCGGGAGAATGGTGCGGGGTGATGGAAAGAGAGAGGATAGGGCGGGGTGATGGAAAGAGGGAGAATGGGGCAGGGTGATGGAAAGCGGGAGAATGGGGCGGGGTGATGGAAAGAGGGAGAATGGGGTGGGGTGATGGAAAGAGGGAGAATTGGGCGGGGTGATGGAAAGCGGGAGAATGGAGCGGGGTGATGGAAAGCGGGAGAATCGGGCGGGGTGATGGAAAGCGGGAAAATGGGGCGGGGTGATGGAAAGAGGGAAAATGGGGCGGGGTGATGGAAAGCGAGAGAATGGGGCGGGGTGATGGAAAGAGGGGGAATGGGGCAGGGTGATGGAAAGCGGGAGAATGGGGCGGGGTGATGGAAAGCGGGAGAATGGGGCGGGGTGATGGAAAGAGGGAGAATGGGGCGGGGTGATGGAAGGCGGGAGAATGGGGCGCGGTGATGGAAAGCGGGAGAATTGGCCAGGGTGATGGAAGGAAGGAGAATGGGGCGGGGTGATGGAAGGCGGGAGAATGGGGCAGGGTGATGGAAAGAGGGAGAATGGTGCGGGGTGATAGAAAGCATGAGAATGGGGCGGGGTGATGGAAAGAGGGAGAATGGTGCGGGGTGATGGAAAGCGGGAGAATGGTGCGGGGTGATGGAAAGCAGGAGAATAAGGCGGGGTGATAGAAAGCGAGAGAATGGGGCGGGGTGATGGAAAACAGGAGAATGGGACGGGGTGATGGAAAGTGGGAGAATTGGGCGGGGTGATGGAAAGCGGGAGAATGGGGCGGGGTGATGGAAATCGGGAGAATGGGGCGGGGTGATAGAAAGAGGGAGAATAAGGCGGGGTGATGGAAAGAGGGAGAATGGGGCGGGTTGATGGAAAGAGGGAGAATGGGGCGGGGTGATGAAAGGCGGGAGAATGGGGCGGGTGATGGAAAGAGGGAGAATGGGGCGGGGTAATGGAAAGCGGGAGAATGGGGCGGGGTGATGGAAAGAGGGAGAATGGGACGGGGTGATGGAAAGCGGGAGAATTGGGCGGGGTGATGGAAAGAGGGAGAATGGGGCGGGGTGATAAAAGACGGGAGAATGGGGCGGGTGATGGAAAGAGGGAGAATGGGGCGGGGTAATGGAAAGCGGGAGAATGGGGCGGGGTGATGGAAAGAGGGAGAATGGGGAGGGGTGATGGAAAGAGGGAGAATTGGGCGGGGTGATGGAAAGCGGGAGAATGGAGCGGGCGGGGTGATGGAAAGCGGGAGAATGGAGCGGGGTGATGGAAAGAGGGAGAATGGGGCGGGTTGATGGAAAGAGGGAGAATGAGGCGGGGTGATGGAAAGCGGGAGAATGGGGCGGGGTGATGGAAAGCGGGAGAATGGGGCGGGGTGATGGAAAGAGGGAGAATGGGGCGGTGTGATGGAAAGCGGGAGAACGGGGCGGGGTGATGGAAAGCGGCAGAATGGGTCGGGGTGATGGAAAGCGGGAGAATGGGGTGGGGTGATGGAAATCGGGAGAATGGGGCGGGGTGATAAAAAGCTGGAGAATGGGGCGGGGTGATGGAAAGAAGGAGATTGGGGCGGGGTGATGGAAAGCGGGAGAATGGGGCGGGGTGATGGAAAGAGGGAGAACAGGGAGGGGTGATGGAAAGCGAGAGAATGGGGCGAGGTGATGGAAACAGGAAGAATGAGGGGGGGTGATGGAAAGAGGGAGAAGGGGCGAGGTGATGGAAACAGGGAGAATGGGGTGGGGTGACGGATAGAGGGAGAATGGGACGGGGTGATGGAAAGAAGGAGAATGGGGCGGGGAGATGGAAAGAGGGAGAATGGAGAGGGGTGATGGAAAGCGGGAGAATTGGGCGCGGTGATGGAAAGCAGGAGAATGGAGCGGGGTGATGGAAAGCGGGAGAATGGGGCGGGGTGATGGATAGAGGGAGAATGGGGCGGGGTGATGGAAAGCAGGAGAATGGGGCGGGGTAATGGAAAGAGGGAGAATGGGGCGGGGTGATGGAAAGAGGGAGAATGGGGCGGGGTGATGGAAAGCAGGAGAATGGGGCGGGGTGATGGAAAGAGGGAGAATGGGAAGGGGTGATAGAAAGAGGGAGAATTGGGCGGGGTGATGGAAAGCGGGACAATGGAGCCGGGTGATGGAAAGCGGGAGAATGGGGCGGAGTGATGGAAAGAGGGAGAATGGGGCGTGTGATGGAAAGAGGTTAAATGGCGCGGGGTGATGGAAAGCGGGAGAATGGGGCGGGGTGATGGAAAGAGGGAGAATGGGGCGGGGTGATGGAAAGAGGGAGAATGGGGCGGGGTGATGGAAAGCGGGAGAATGGGTCGGGGTGATGGAAAGAGGGAGAATGGGGCGGGGTGATGGAAAGAGGGAGAATGGGGCGGGGTGACGGAAAGCTGGAGAATGGGGCGGGGTGATGGAAAGAGGGAGAATGGGGCGGGGTGATGGAAAGAGGGAGAATGGGACGGGGTGATGGAAAGCGGGAGAATGGGGCGGGGTGATGGAAAGAGGGAGAATGGGGCGGGGTGATGGAAGACGGGAGAATGGGGTGGGGTGATGGAAGGCGGGAGAATTGGGCAGGGTGATGGAAAGATGGAGAATGGGGCGGGGTGATGGAAGGCGGGAGAGTGGGGCGGGGTGATGTAAAGATGGAGAATGGGGCGGGGTGATGGAAAGAGGGAGAATGGGGCGGGGTGACGGAAAGCTGGAGAATGGGGCGGGGTGATGGGAAGAGGGAGAATGGGGCGGGGTGATGGAAAGAGGGAGAATGTGGCGGGGAGATGGAAAGAGGAAGAATGGGGCGGGGTGATGGAAAGCGGGAGAATGGGGCGGGGTGATGGAAAGAGGGAGAATGGGACGGGGTGATAGAAAGCGGGAGAATGGGGCGGGGTGATGGAAAGAGGGAGAATGGGGCGGGGAGATGGAAAGAGGAAGAATGGGGCGGGGTGATGGAAAGCGGGAGAATGAGGCGGGGTAATGGAAAGAGGGAGAATGGGACGGGGTGATGGAAAGCGGGAGAATGGGGCGGGGTGATGAAAAGCGGGAGAATGGGGCGGGGTGATGGAAAGCGAGAGAATGGGGCGGGGTGATGGGAAGAGGGAGAATGGGGCGGAGTGATGGAAAGCAGGAGAATGGGGCGGGGTGATGGAAAGCGGGAGAATGGGGCGGGGTGATGGAAAGCGGGAGAACGGGGCGGGGTGATGGAAAGAGGGAGAATGGGGCGGGGTTATGAAAAGCGGGAGAATGGGGCGGGGTGATGGAAAGAGGGAGAATGGGGCGGGGTGATGGAAAGAGGGAGAATGGGGCGGGGTGATGGAAAACGGGAGAATGGGGCGGGGTGATGGAAAGAGGGAGAATGGGGCGGGGTGATAAAAATCGGGAGAATGGGGCGGGGTGATGGAAAGAGGGGAGGATGGGGTGGGGTGATGGAACGCAAAAGAATGGGGCAGGGTGATGGAAAGCGGGAGAATGGGACAAGGTGATGGAAAGCGGGAGAATTGGGTGGGGTGATGGATAGAGGGAGAATGGGGCAGGGTGATGGAAAGAGGTGGAATGGGGCGGGGTGATGGAAAGAGGGAGAATTGGTCGAGGTGATGGAAAGCGGGAGAATGGGGCGGGGTGATGGAAAGAGGGAGAATGGGGCGGGGTGATGGAAAGAGGGAGAATGGGGCGGGGTGATGGAAAGCGGGAGAATGGGGCGGGGTGATGGAAAAAGGGAGAATGAGGAGGGGTGATGGAAAGAGGGAGAATTGGGCGGGGTGATGGAAAGCGGGAGAATGGGGCGGGGTGATGGAAAGAGGGAGAATGGGGCGGGGTGATGGAAAGAGGGAGAATGGGGCGGGGTGATGGAAAGCGGGAGAATGGGGCGGGGTGATGGAAAGAGGGAGAATGGGGCGGGGTGATAAAAATCGGGAGAATGGGGCGGGGTGATGGAAAGAGGGGAGGATGGGGTGGGGTGATGGAACGCAAAAGAATGGGGCGGGGTGATGGAAAGCGGGAGAATGGGACGAGGTGATGGAAAGCGGGAGAATTGGGTGGGGTAATGGATAGAGGGAGAATGGGGCAGGGTGATGGAAAGAGGGAGAATGGGGCGGGGTGATGGAAAGAGGGAGAATTGGTCGAGGTGATGGAAAGCGGGAGAATGGGGCGGGGTGATGGAAAGAGGGAGAATGGGGCGGGGTGATGGAAAGAGGGAGAATGGGGCGGGGTGATGGAAAGCGGGAGAATGGGGCGGGGTGATGGAAAAAGGGAGAATGGGGAGGGGTGATGGAAAGAGGGAGAATTGGGCGGGGTGATGGAAAGCGGGACAATGGAGCGGGATGATGGAAAGCGAGAGAATGGGGCGGGGTGATGGAAAGCGGGAGAATGGGGCGGGGTGATGGAAAGAGGGAAAATGGCGCGGGGTGATGGAAAGTGGGAGAATGGGGCGGGGTGATGGAAAGAGGGAGAATGGGGCGGGGAGATGGAAAGAGGGAGAATGGGGCGGGGTGATGGAAAGCGAGAGAATGGGGCGGGGTGATGGAAAGAGGGAGAATGGGGCGGGGTGATGGAAAGCGGGAGAATGGGGCGGGGTGATGGAAAGCGGGAGAATGGGGCGGGGTGATGAAAGGCGGGAGAATGGGGCGGGGTGATGAAAGGCGGGAGAATGGGGCGGGGTGATGGAAAGAGGGAGAATGGGGCGGGGTGATGGAAAGAGGGAGAATGGGGAGGGGTGATGGAAAGAGGGAGAATTGGGCGGGGTGATGGAAAGCGGGAGAATGGAGTGGGCGGGGTGATAGAAAGCGGGAGAATGGGCCGGGGTGATGGAAAGCGAGAGAACGGGACGCGGTGATGGAAAGCGGGAGAATGGGGCGGGGTGATGGAAAGCGGGAGAATGGGGCGGGGTGATGGAAAGCGGGAGAATGGGGCGGGGTGATGGAAAGCGGGAGAATGGGGCGGGGTGATGGAAAGCGGGAGAATGGGGTGGGGTGATGGAAAGCGGGAGAACGGGGCAGGGTGATGGAAAGCGGGAGAATGGGGCGGGGTGATGGAAAGAGGGAGAATGGGGCGGGGTGATGGAAGGCGGAAGAATGGGGCGGGGTGATGGAAAGCGGGAGAATTGAGCAGGGTGATGGAAAGATGGAGAATGGGGCGGGGTGATGGAAGGCGGGAGAATGGGGCGGGGTGATGGAAAGAGGGAGAATGGGGCGGGGTGATAGAAAGCAGGAGAATGGGGCGGGGTGATGGAAAGAGGGGAAATGTGGAGAGGTGATGGAAAGCGGGAGAATGGGGCGGGCTGTTGGAAAGCAGGAGAATGGGGCGGGGTGATGGAAAGCGGGAGAATGGGGCGGGGTGATGGAAATTGGGAGAATGGGGCGGGGTGATGGAAAGTGGGAGAATAAAGCGGGGTGATGGAAAGCGAGAGAATGGGGCGGGGTGATGGAAAACGGGAGAATGGGACGGGGTGATGGAAAGTTGGAGAATTGGGCGGGGTGATGGATAGAGGGAGAATGGGGCGGGGTGATGGAAAGCTGGAGAATGGGGCGGGGTGATGGAAAGAGGGAGAATGGGGCGGGGTGATGGAAAGCGTGAGAATGGGGCGGGGTGATGGAAAGAGGGAGAATGGGGCGGGGTGATGGAAGGCGGGAGAATGGGGCGGGGTGATGGGAAGCGGGAGAATTGGGCGGGGTGATGGAAAGCGGGAGAATGGGGCGGGGTGATGAAAGGCGGGAGAATGGGGCGGGGTGATGGGAAGAGGGAGAATGGGGCGGGGTGATGGAAAGCGGGAGAATGGGGCGTAGTGATGGAAAGAGGGAAAATGGGGCGGGGTGATGGAAAGAGGGAGAATGGGGCGGGGTGATGGAAAGAGTGAGAATTGGGCGGGGTGATGGAAAGTGGGAGAATGAGGCGGGGTGTTGGAAAGCGGGAGAATGGGGAGGGGTGATGGAAAGCGGGAGAATGGGGCGGGGTCATGGAAAGCGGGAGAATGGGGCGGGGTGATGGAAATCGGGACAATGGGGCGGGGTGATGGAAAGAGGGGAGGATGGGGTGGGGTGATGGAACGCAAAAGAATGGGGCGGGGTGATGGAAAGCGGGAGAATGGGACGGGGTGATGGAAAGCGGGAGAATTGGGTGGGGTGATGGATAGAGGGAGAATGGGGCAGGGTGATGGAAAGAGGGAGAATGGGGCGGGGTGATGGAAAGAGAGAGAATTGGTTGAGGTGATGGAAAGTGGGAGAATGGGGCGGGGTGATGGAAAGAGGGAGAATGGGGCGGGGTGATGGAAAGAGGGAGAATGGGGCGGGGTGATGGAAAGCGGGAGAATGGGGCGGGGTGATGGAAAAAGGGAGAATGGGGAGGGGTGATGGAAAGAGGGAGAATTGGGCGGGGTGATGGAAAGCGGGACAATGGAGCGGGATGATGGAAAGCGAGAGAATGGGGCGGGGTGATGGAAAGTGGGAGAATGGGGCGGAGTGATGGAAAGAGGGAAAATGGCGCGGGGTGATGGAAAGTGGGAGAATGGGGCGGGGTGATGGAAAGAGGGAGAATGGGGCGGGGTGATGGAAAGAGGGAGAATGGGGCGGGGTGATGGAAAGCGAGAGAATGGGGCGGGGTGATGGAAAGAGGGAGAATGGGGCGGGGTGATGGAAAGCGGGAGAATGGGGCGGGGTGATGGAAAGCGGGAGAATTGGGCGGGGTGATGGAAAGCGGGAGAATGGGGCGGGGTGATGAAAGGCGGGAGAATGGGGCGGGGTGATGAAAGGCGGGAGAATGGGGCGGGGTGATGGAAAGAGGGAGAATGGGGCGGGGTGATGGAAAGAGGGAGAATGGGGCGGGGTGATGGAAAGCAAGAGAATGGGGCGGGGTGATGGAAAGAGGGAGAATGGGGCGGGGTGATGGAAAGAGGGAGAATGGGGCGGGGTGATGGAAAGCGGGAGAATTGGGCGGGGTGATGGAAAGCGGGAGAATGGGGCGGGGTGATGAAAGGCGGGAGAATGGGGCGGGGTGATGAAAGGCGGGAGAATGGGGCGGGGTGATGGAAAGAGGGAGAATGGGGCGGGGTGATGGAAAGAGGGAGAATGGGGAGGGGTGATGGAAAGAGGGAGAATTGGACGGGGTGATGGAAAGCCGGAGAATGGAGCGGGCGGGGTGATAGAAAGCGGGAGAATGGGCCGGGGTGATGGAAAGCGAGAGAACGGGACGGGGTGATGGAAAGCGGGAGAATGGGGCGGGGTGATGGAAAGCGGGAGAATGGGGCGGGGTGATGGAAAGCGGGAGAATGGGGCGGGGTGATGGAAAGCGGGAGAATGGGGCGGGGTGATGGAAAGCGGGAGAATGGGGTGGGGTGATGGAAAGCGGGAGAATGGGGCGGGGTGATGGAAAGCGGGAGAATCGGGCGGGGTGATGGAAAGAGGGAGAATTGGTCGAGGTGATGGAAAGCGGGAGAATGGGGCGGGGTGATGGAAAGAGGGAGAATGGGGCGGGGTGATGGAAAGAGGGAGAATGGGGCGGGGTGATGGAAAGCGGGAGAATGGGGCGGGGTGATGGAAAAAGGGAGAATGGGGAGGGGTGATGGAAAGAGGGAGAATTGGGCGGGGTGATGGAAAGCGGGACAATGGAGCGGGATGATGGAAAGCGAGAGAATGGGGCGGGGTGATGGAAAGCGGGAGAATGGGGCGGAGTGATGAAAAGAGGGGAAATGGTGCGGGGTGATGGAAAGTGGGAGAATGGGGCGGGGTGATGGAAAGAGGGAGAATGGGGCGGGGTGATGGAAAGAGGGAGAATGGGGCGGGGTGATGGAAAGCGAGAGAATGGGGCGGGGTGATGGAAAGAGGGAGAATGGGGCGGGGTGATGGAAAGCGGGAGAATGGGGCGGGGTGATGGAAAGCGGGAGAATTGGGCGGGGTGATGGAAAGCGGGAGAATGGGGCGGGGTGATGAAAGGCGGGAGAATGGGGCGGGGTGATGAAAGGCGGGAGAATGGGGCGGGGTGATGGAAAGAGGGAAAATGGGGCGGGGTGATGGAAAGAGGGAGAATGGGGAGGGGTGATGGAAAGAGGGAGAATTGGGCGGGGTGATGGAAAGCGGGAGAATGGAGCGGGCGGGGTGATAGAAAGCGGGAGAATGGGCCGGGGTGATGGAAAGCGAGAGAACGGGACAGGGTGATAAAAAGCGGGAGAATGGGGCGGGGTGATGGAAAGCGGGAGAATGGGGCGGGGTGATGGAAAGCGGGAGAATGGGGCGGGGTGATGGAAAGCGGGAGAATGGGGCGGGGTGATGGAAAGCGGGAGAATGGGGTGGGGTGATGGAAAGCGGGATAATGGGGCGGGGTGATGGAAAGCGGGAGAATGGGGCGGGGTGATGGAAAGCGGGAGAATGGGGCGGGGTGATGGAAAGAGGGAGAATGGGGCGGGGTGATTGAAGGCGGGAGAATGGGGCAGGGTGATGGAAAGCGGGAGAATTGAGCAGGGTGATGGAAAGATGGAGAATGGGGCAGGGTGATGGAAGGCGGGAGAATGGGGCGGGGTGATGGAAAGAGGGAGAATGGGGTGGGGTGATAGAAAGCAGGAGAATGGGGCGGGGTGATGGAAAGAGGGAGAATGGGGAGAGGTGATGGAAAGCGGGAGAATGGGGCGGGCTGTTGGAAAGCAGGAGAATGGGGCGGGGTGATGGAAAGCGGGAGAATGGGGCGGGGTGATGGAAATTCGGAGAATGGGGCGGGGTGATGGAAAGTGGGAGAATAAAGCGGGGTGATGGAAAGCGAGAGAATGGAGCGGGGTGATGGAAAACGGGAGAATGGGACGGGGTGATGGAAAGTGGGAGAATTGGGTGGGGTGATGGATAGAGGGAGAATGGGGCGGGGTGATGGAAAGCGGGAGAATGGGGCGGGGTGATGGAAAGAGGGAGAATGGGGCGGGGTGATGGAAAGCGTGAGAATGGGGCGGGGTGATGGAAAGAGGGAGAATGGGGCGGGGTGATGGAAGGCGGGAGAATGGGGCGGGGTGATGGGAAGCGGGAGAATTGGGCGGGGTGATGGAAAGCGGGAGAATGGGGCGGGGTGATGAAAGGCGGGAGAATGGGGCGGGGTGATGGGAAGAGGGAGAATGGGGCGGGGTGATGGAAAGCGGGAGAATGGGGCGGGGTGATGGAAAGAGGGAAAATGGGGCGGGGTGATGGAAAGCGGGAGAATGGGGCGGGGTGATGGAAAGAGGGAGAATGGGGCGGGGTGATGGAAAGTGGGAGAATGGGGCGGGGATATGGAAAGCGGGAGAATGGGGCGGGGTGATGGAAAGCGGGAGAATGGGGCGGGGTGATGGAAAGAGGGAGAATGGGGCGGGGTGATGGAAGGCGGGAGAATGGGGCGGGGTGATGGAAAGAGGGAAAATGGGGCGGGGTGATGGAAAGCGGGAGAATGGGGCGGGGTGATGGAAAGAGGGAGAATGGGGCGGGATGATGGAAAGCGGGAGAATGGGGCGGGGTGATGGAAAGCGGGAGAATTGGGCGGGGTGATGGAAAGCGGGAGAATGGGGCGGGGTGATGAAAGGCGGGAGAATGGGGCGGGGTGATGAAAGGCGGGAGAATGGGGCGGGGTGATGGAAAGAGGGAAAATGGGGCGGGGTGATGGAAAGAGGGAGAATAGGGAGGGGTGATGGAAAGAGGGAGAATTGGGCGGGGTGATGGAAAGCGGGAGAATAGAGCGGGCGGGGTGATAGAAAGCGGGAGAATGGTCCGGGGTGATGGAAAGCGAGAGAACGGGACCGGGTGATGGAAAGCGGGAGAATGGGGCGGGGTGATGGAAAGCGGGAGAATGGGGCGGGGTGATGGAAAGCGGGAGAATGGGGCGGGGTGATGGAAAGCGGGAGAACGGGGTGGGGTGATGGAAAGCGGGAGAATGGGGCGGGGTTATGGAAAGCAGGAGAATGGGGCGGGGTGATGGAAAGCGGGAGAATGGGGCGGGGTGATGGAAAGAGGGAGAATGGGGCGGGGTGATGGAAGGCGGGAGAATGGGGCAGGGTGATGGAAAGCGGGAGAATTGAGCAGGGTGATGGAAAGATGGAGAATGGGGCGGGGTGATGGAAGGCGGGAGAATGGGGCGGGGTGATGGAAAGAGGGAGAATGGGGTGGGGTGATAGAAAGCAGGAGAATGGGGCGGGGTGATGGAAAGAGGGAGAATGGGGCGGGGTGATGGAAGGCGGGAGAATGGGGCGGGGTGATGGGAAGCGGGAGAATTGGGCGGGGTGATGGAAAGCGGGAGAATGGGGCGGGGTGATGAAAGGCGGGAGAATGGGGCGGGTTGATGGGAAGAGGGAGAATCGGGCGGGGTGATGGAAAGCGGGAGAATGGGGCGGGGTGATGGAAAGCGGGAGAATGGGGCGGGGTGATGGAAAGAGGGAGAATGGGGCAGGGTGATGGAAAGTGGGAGAATGGGGCGGGGTGATGGAAAGCGGGAGAATGGGGCGGGGTGATGGAAAGCGGGAGAATGGGGCGGGGTGATGGAAAGAGGGAGAATGGGGCGGGGTGATGGACGACAGGAGAATGGGGCGGGGTGATGGAAAGAGGGAAAATGGGGCGGGGTGATGGAAAGCGGGAAGGGCGGGGTGATGGAAAGCGGGAGAATGGGGCGAGGGTGAGTGAAAGAGGGAAAATGGGGCGGGGTGATGGGAAGAGGGAAAATGGGGCGGGGTGATGGAAAGTAGGAGAATGGGGCGGGGTGATGGAAAGAGGGAGAATGGGGCGGGGTGATGGAAAGCGGGAGAATGGGGCGTGGTGATGGAAAGCGGGAGAATGGGGCGGGGTGATGGAAAGCAGGAGAATGGGGCGGGGTGATGGAAAGCGGGAGAATGGGGCGGGGTGATGGAAAGCGGGAGAATGGGGCGGTGTGATGGAAGGCGGGAGAATGGGGCAGGGTGATGGAAAGCGGGAGAATTGAGCAGGGTGATGGAAAGATGGAGAATGGGGCGGGGTGATGGAAGGCGGGAGAATGGGGCGGGGTGATGGAAAGAGGGAGAATGGGGTGGGGTGATAGAAAGCAGGAGAATGGGGCGGGGTGATGGAAAGAGGGAGAATGGGGAGAGGTGATGGAAAGCGGGAGAATGGGGCGGGCTGTTGGAAAGCAGGAGAATGGGGCGGGGTGATGGAAAGCGGGAGAATGGGGCGGGGTGATGAAAATTGGGAGAATGGGGCGGGGTGATGGAAAGTGGGAGAATAAAGCGGGGTGATGGAAAGCGAGAGAATGGGGCGGGGTGATGGAAAACGGGAAAATGGGACGGGGTGATGGAAAGTAGGAGAATTGGGCGGGGTGATGGATAGAGGGAGAATGGGGCGGGGTGATGGAAAGCGGGAGAATGGGGCGGGGTGATGGAAAGAGGGAGAATGGGGCGGGGTGATGGAAAGCGTGAGAATGGGGCGGGGTGATGGAAAGAGGGAGAATGGGGCGGGGTGATGGAAGGCGGGAGAATGGGGCGGGGTGATGGGAAGCGGGAGAATTGGGCGGGGTGATGGAAAGCTGGAGAATGGGGCGGGGTGATGAAAGGCGGGAGAATGGGGCGGGGTGATGGGAAGAGGGAGAATCGGGCGGGGTGATGGAAAGCGGGAGAATGGGGCGGGGTGATGGAAAGCGGGAGAATGGGGCGGGGTGATGGAAAGAGGGAGAATGGGGCAGGGTGATGGAAAGTGGGAGAATGGGGCGGGGTGATGGAAAGCGGGAGAATGGGGCGGGGTGATGGAAAGCGGGAGAATGGGGCGGGATGATGGAAAGAGGGAGAATGGGGCGGGGTGATGGAAGACGGGAGAATGGGGCGGGGTGATGGAAAGAGGGAAAATGGGGCGGGGTGATGGAAAGCGGGAGAATGGGGCGGGGTGATGGAAAGCGGGAGAATGGGGCGAGGGTGAGTGAAAGAGGGAAAATGGGGCGGGGTGATGGGAAGAGGGAAAATGGGGCGGGGTGATGGAAAGTAGGAGAATGGGGCGGGGTGATGGAAAGAGGGAGAATGGGGCGGGGTGATGGAAAGCGGGAGAATGGGGCGTGGTGATGGAAAGCGGGAGAAAGGGGCGGGGTGATGGAAAGCAGGAGAATGGGGCGGGGTGATGGAAAGCGGGAGAATGGGGCGAGGTGATGGAAAGCGGGAGAATGGGGCGGGGTGATGGAAAGAGGGAGAATGGGGCGGGGTGATGGAAATCGGGAGAATAGGGCGGGGTGATGGAAAGCGGGAGAATGGGGCGGGGTGATGGAAAGAGGGAGAATGGGGCGGGGTGATAGAAAGCAGGAGAATGGGGCGGGGTGATGGAAAGAGGGAGAATGGGGAGGGGTGATTGCACCAACAATCCGAGGGGGAGTTTGTTGGTGCAACCTACGGTTTGCACTCGGCTTGTTGTCCGTGTGCGTGCATGCGTGTGTGCATGGAATGGTATGAGGGCATGGGATAATATATATTTCATGCTTATAACAGTGTGTGTATGATGGGTAATGATATTGAGTGTGTGTGTCAAGTCAATAGCGAGTTATCGCTAGTCGCGTGTAACGCGGTCATTTTGTGTGTCCCGCGCGGTTTCTATTTTGTCGTGCGCGGTTTCTATTTTGTCGCTTGTCGAACGTTCGGCGTGTCGCAGGTGTGTGCAGCAGACCCATCAAGAACTCAAGGATGAGTTTGTGATGAAGAACCCGAGCCCTGGTGTCAACATTCAAGTGTTCGCAAAGTCCGCGAAAAGGGTACACCTCAAGATATCAAGATTCGTTACATTACAACGTGTAGTGTAACATTTCAGTTGGTGTAGACCCTAGTGAAGGGTAGTTTCTAGACCCTTCGTGGTTGGGGACAGTGTGGCACTGTTCCACATCACTGTACCTCGGCTCTTGGGGTTTGTAGGAGCTGGGAGTCATTCCCAACTCGTAACTCTTGCTAACTCTTCCTAAGTTGCGTTCTAAGACTATGTTGCTGCCATAGTGCTGTTCGTTCAAACCGTTGCTGTGTCGTCAAATCTTGATGATATCGTGCGATCTAAATTGCTTATTGTAGGCGACGTTACGGAGCTCCAGATCCAAGTTGAATGAAGTCATTTGGAGTTGTGAGCAGATCGCTATGAACGTTTAAAGCCGCTGTGCAGAAATCCGACTGTGCACTCTATCCTTAGTTTTAGGCACATTGAAGCCTACTGTGACTATAACAAGTGGTATCAGAGCCCCTTGGAGCAGCTACGACTATGACTGGACCTGGAGAAAGGGGTGGCAGAGGTGCTGGTGGCAATGGAGATGCCCAAGCACAAGGCCAAGCCCGTGATTCAGCCGTGGCGCCCGTGCAACCTACTCTTGGACCTTCTAGGGATGAACCAAGAGCGTTCGGGCTTGACAAGTTCAACGGCGACAACTTTGATGAATGGTCCTTCAGAATGGAGAACGTGTTCGACCATTATGACTTGCTGGAGGTGATGGAAGGAACGGAGAAGCGTCCCGAGAACGACCCGGAGAAGAGCCCGTGGGTGCGGAAGAGCGCACAAGGCTATCTTCTACTTGGGCAAGCGTTGGGGAGCAACCAGATCCGTCACATCAAGCCTTTCCAGCATGAACCAGAGAAAGGACCAAAGGCATGGGCTGCTCTCAAGGGTGTACACGCTCCTGCAACAGCGGCGGTAGCTGTGGTGTTGGAACGGCAAATGGCGACGCTACGAATTGAGGAAGATGAACCCGTGGAAGACGGGGTGCAGAGATTCTTCGACTTGTTGACGCGGCTAGAGGGAGCTGATTTGAACTACAGTGAGCTCCAGAAGAAGACCAAGTTGCTGGCCTTACTCCCCGAGTCGTGGTCCTCGCTCATCATCAATTTGAACCGTGACCTGCCCCGTCTCTCGCTTGAAGGCGTGAAGCGCGCGATCCTACAAGAGGACTTCCGCCGCCGTGAGTTGGCGAGTGCGGATGGCGCTGGGGCAGCTAGCGCCGGCCGTGGATATAGCCGAGGAAAAGGAAGATCTGGTGGCGGCAACTTCAGTGGAGGCCGCGGGAACGGCAGTTACGGCAGCGACGACAAGAGCTACGGACGCGGTCGCGGTCGATTCGACGGCGAATGTCATTATTGCGGCAAGAGCGGACATATGTGGCGCGATTGCTTCAAACTCCCTGAAGGATGGACCCCTGCTCAAGGCCAAGAGGGTAAAGGAGCAGGAGGAGGGAGAGGAAGAGGCCGTGGAGGCCGTGGCGGTCGCGGTGGCGGTGCTGCAAATGTGAAGAGCGAAGATAACGACAAGGACCCGAGCGGCGATCGGTACCCGGGCCTATTCTACTTCGTGTCGACGCAAGTACCGGCTGGTCCAGAGAAGGATGAAGACCTTGAGGAGCCAGCAGCTGTAGGGAAGGTGACCCTACACCCCCTGGACTATTGGGTGATCGACAGTGGCGCTACCTATAGCATGACACCTCGCCCGGACTTGCTCACCGAACTTGAACCGTCATCGGTGAAGCATGTCACATCGGCTTTGGGGCAGCGAGCAGAGGTAAAAGGCATGGGGAAGGCCATGTTCAAGGGTGCTGATGGGAAGATGGTGGGCCTCAAGAACGTGCTTTGGGTGCCCAGCCTTGCTGCAAACCTGATTTCCGTGCGGCGGTTGGCGAAGGCCGGCATGGACACGAACTCGAAGGGGGCCAAGACCTACACCGCAAGGATTGGTGACCGGATTCTTTGGGACCTTCATGAGGATAGGGATGTCTACAACGAGATGTGGCAGATCCCTGTGGTCCCTATGCCTAAGGAGAGGCAAGTGGCAGCAAGCGTCAGCACCAACGGAGAAGCGCTTGGTAGCGGCGATGGCGCGAACGGTCGCGCTAAGGAGAACGAGCTCAAGAAGAGCAAACCTGGAGGGACCAGCAAGCTGTATGGTCCTAAGGAGAGTGGTGCAGCAGCCAAGGAGCAGCACAAGGGTGAGGAGAACCCCGAGGCAGCAGCGGAGGAGGAGTACGGAGAGAGCATGTGGGGCGCTATTGCGAGCGCGGCATTCTCCAATCCGACTTCAGCTACGGGGGAGTGTGATTGGTTGACTTTGCATCGGCGCATGGGGCATGTGGCCCTGCCCATCTTGCAGCAGCTAGTGAAGAACCAGATGGTTGCTGGCATACGTGTGAAGGCGGAGCCCGATGAGGTGCTTGGCTGCCCGACGTGCATGCAAGCCAAGTTCACGCGGTTTCCGTTCTCGAGCTCGGAGACAACGGCTAAGGCACCACTTGATGAGGTGGTGATGGACGTGGTGGGCCCCCTGAAGCTTGGAGCTGCTGGAGCTAAGTATTTCCTCACCATTGTCGACGTCTACACCCGCATGACTTGGGTGTACGTGCTGGCCAAGAAGAGCGACGTGGCTGAAACATTGAAGACGGATTGGTTCCCGATGGTGGAGCGGCAACAAGACCGTCTAGTGAAGTCGATCCGCACCGATCGAGGGGGAGAGTTCCTGAGCAAGGAGTTTGGGTTGTGGCTGAAGAAGAATGGCATTCGGCACTCCCTCACCATGCCATACTCCCCTGCAATGAACGGCATCGCCGAGCGAGCGAACCGGACGATCACGGAGGCGGCACGCGGGTTGCTCATTGAAGCCAGGCTACCCGACTACTTCTGGCCTGATGCGGTGCGGAGCGCGTGTGTGGCCAAGAACAGAGTCTTGACTCATGTGGGAGCAGACAAATGGGTGCCTTATGTGGAGTGGCTTGGAAGGAAGCCAAAGGTGGATATGCTTTGGGTGTTCGGGTGCATGTGCATGGCGCTCGTACCTAAGCATCTTCGGCACAACAAGCTTGGTGCCAAGGCGGTGTGGGCCGTGCACTTGGGCATGGCTCAAAACAGCAAGGGGTGGCTCCTTTGGGACCCATTCACCAAGAAGTTCATGGTGAGCAGGGACTGCAAGTTCATGGAGAACTTCATGTACTAAGATTGGAAGGCGGAGAATGAGGCGAAGATTAGCGTTCGGTTTGGAGAGGTGAAGAACTCCGGTTTGGAGCATGTGGAGCTGCCTTTGGAGCTGAGCAGCGGCAGCACTACCACAAGGCAATCTTCCCTTGTGAATGGGGGAGAGGAGGCCAGGGATGCAGAGGAAGAAGAGGAGGAGGTGCAGCAAGTGAGCGAGCGTGCACCGACACTTCCTTCCCGCACTACGAGTGCTCCACGGATTTGAGCCACACCGCAGCAACGCCAAGGCCTTCAAGTCGCTGCAGCTGAGGAGGAAGGAAGGGTCAAGAGGAGATTCCAAGCCCCCAATAGGCTGACCTATGATGCACCGGGGAAGCAGGGCAAGACGGCCCTAGCTGGAGCGGCAATGATGGTTGGAGACGACGAGGAGAGTGACTACGAGGAGTGTGCCTTCGCTTTATTCTCTCCCAGTGGAGATGCCGGGAGAACCAGCAACTCTCAAGGAGGCCTTGGAGAGTGATGATGCTGAGGAGTGGAAGAAGGCAATGGAGAATGAGCTGAAGAGCATTGAGGAGAGCGACACGTACGAGTTGGTGGAGCTACCGGAGGGGCGTACGGCGATTACGTCCAAGTGGCTCTTCAAGATCAAGTCGGATGCCGATGGCGTGATCGAGCGCTACAAGTCTCGGCTGGTGGCCAAGGGGTACCAGCAGAAGGAGAAGGTGGACTTCAAGGAGTTGTTTGCTCCTGTAGTGAAGCCGACGACGCTGCGAACCCTATTCGTGGGAGCCGCGATCAAAGGTTGGGTGGTGAAGCAGCTAGACATCGTAACGGCGTTCCTCAACGGGATTCTTGAGGAGGAAATCTTTATGGCGCAGCCGGAGGGGTTTGATGATGGTAGTGGCAGAGTGTGGAAGCTGAAGAAGGCCCTCTATGGGCTGAAGCAGGCCCCAAGGCAATGGTACATGAAGCTGCGCGAAGTGTTGGAGGGGATCGGCTTCACTCCCTCAACGGCCGATCACTCCTTGTTCATGCTTGGCGAGGGAGAGCAGAGGAGCTTCATGGTGGTTTATGTGGACGAAATTCTCATATTCTCACCCTCCTCTGACCTTGTGAAGGAGGTGATGCTGAAACTTCATGACAAGTTCAAGTGCAAGTCCCTTGGGGACGTGAACTTCTACCTCGGGCTCCACATCGAACGTGACGTGGAGAAGCGGTGCATGCGGGTGCACCAACGGAAGTACCTGGAGGCGTTGGCTGCCAACTTTGGCCAGAATGAAGGCCATGTGGCTACACCCTTTCCCTCTGGGTTCAAGTGTGTGAAGGGACCAGAGGAGGAGAGCGTGGGTGAAGAGGAGAGGCGCCGTTTTCACTCGTTGGTGGGCAGCCTCATGTATGCGGCGGTCAACACACGACCGGATGTCGCGTTTGCTACCGGGCAGCTGGCTAGGGTTGTGCAAGTACCTTGGCCAAACACCGACCGTTGGGCTGCAATACTCGGCGGCGGCGCAAAGGCGCCAAAAGGGCGCGGATGGTGTGGAACTCGGGCGGTTGTTCCTCACCGCCTACTCGGATGCTTCATATGCATCAGAACCAGAGGACATGACAAGTGTGGGAGGCTTCATCTGCTGTGTTGGTGGAAGCCC